CCAAAATTGAAGGGTCTTTACTCTGGGCTGATGCGTCGGTAGGCACGAAAGATTATAAATGGACTTGACTAGGCAGAGTTGAACTTAAGAAATTCTTGCGTCGGTAGGCACGAAAGATTATAAATGGACTTGACTAGGCAGAGTTGAACTTAAGAAATTCTTAGACTTAACAAATCTTGACCTAGTTAGATCCGTTTAGCCTGACAATACGATGCTTGGATAGGTTGAGCAGGGAGATATATATGGGAATCGACTCGTCACATTAAATGAACCCGTACTTGGAACCGTGGATTAACTTCTCCTCGATGTGCGGATTCTGTCCTTAATACCGGTATTAATAGGGTGACTGGTGAATTCCGATAAGTTAGGTATGTAGAAGATTATTTTCTTTCTCTCTATCTGTTAGTCATATGTTGCCTCCTCTGCGTGATTGAACTACATCCGACCTGGACTGCAACACATGCAATTCTATTTCTATGCATCTTCTATCTATGCAATTCTTCCTGCCTGTTAGCCATATGCTGTCTCCTTTGCGTGATTGAAATACATCCGACCTGGTACACAACATATGCACCATTCTACTTCTCAGTCCCTCTAAATCTGGTTAGTCATATGTTTCACCCTCTGCGTGATTGGAAGAGATCCGACCTGGGTGTATAGCATATGCATTCTAAATCTATCTTCTCTCTCAATAATTGTCTACTCACCCGATGTAAGGAGTACTCTGGAAGTTCTTGATTACTGGGGCATATCAGGAAGCGGGAAACATGTTCCAGTACAATTATCAATTGAACTCTCAAAGATTGTCTATAGATCTCGCTGCTCAATTTAGGTGGACAACAATATCCCTGGTCGTCGTCAGCTGAATGGTCCTTAAGATATAGTATCTAGGAACTTAAGCTCACCTGTCTTGTAACAAATAGTAATGTCCAAAATCTGTCATGATTTTTCGTGTTTAAGTAGACCACAATACTGGCGATCGACCAGATAAAGATGTGAAGATGAAAGGTACCGACAAGCGGATTAGGGCTGTCTAACAACTTTGATCACAGTGTCACAAGATCTTGTTAGTAGTGTTGAAATAAATTTTGTTTGTTCAAAATTTAAATTTTCCTTTGTTTTATTTTATTTTTATTTTTATTTTTATTTTATTTTTTTAAAATAAATCCTCAAGAGATTTATTCTTAAAAATTTTATCGGGATAAAAGACTGGGTTTTACACTGTGTGGGAGTCTGGTTATTTCGAGGAAGTATAAAACAAAGAGTTTACTTCCGTAAACCTTTTTCCACCTCCTCTTCTCCCTTTACAGCCGCAATCACATTCTCTCTCTCTACTCTCTCTCATCGAAACTTTTGTTTAAGTTTTTGAGAAATCGGCCTAGTACATCTCGAAGGTATGATGAATCCGACCAAGGATATGCTCTCTATTCGCCATTCCGACCAAAAACGAAGGAGTAATCGAAGCTTAAAGTTTTGTCGGCGTTTACTGTTCACGAGGAGTTTACGGTTTCGGATCATTCAAGAACCGTAAACCCGAGTTTTGGTCTTACGACCGTAAACCCGAGTTTTGGTCTTACGACCGTAAACTCAGTTTACGGTCTGTTGACCATCTTTGACCGTAAACCCATGATTGACTTCCTTTGACTGTAAACTCCAATGTTTGACTATTTTGACCATAAACTCCAATATTTTGTAGTCAAACTAATTTTTAAAAGCCAAAATAAATTGTCTAATTGAGAAAACTAAATGATTTAACTTGTTAAAATCCTGTGTTTTCTTACTTGGCTTGTTTAGTGCAGAAAAATGGCCAATCTTAAGTTCGCGGATATGCACAATTTGGCGATCGTGTTGGATGATCCTCCAGTCGCTCATGCGGAGTTCAAATCTATGATCTACAGGCTAAGGGAGTGATGCTTATCCTATGCCATCACAGTAAATCCCGTCATTTATCAAAACATCATCCGGGAATTTTGGCAAACTGTAAAAATGGAAAAGGTCAACGGAGAGATAACAATTGAAGCCATAGTCAAAGGTTGCAAGATCACTATTACGGAGGAGTACATCAGAAATACTTTGCTTGTCGTTGATGAATCTAATTTCCCTACTGAAATTGGAATTGAAGATGTACAAAGGGTTCTTGAGAGGATGGGATACGAGGGTATCTACCCTCCCACAGTGAAGAAGCTCTTGCCTCCTTACTGGCGATTCCTGGCACACGTGTTCGTGAGCTGCATTTCTGGCAGGAGATCATGAGCTGATGAGATCTCTCTCAGAAACACCGGGGCAATTGTCTCCTTGGCTGCTGGCATAAAGTTTAATTTCTCAAAGTTCATTCTTGATGAGTTCTCGGTGAACATTAATGCCATTACCCGGGGGACCAGAGATGCATTTCTACTTTATCCAAGGCTTATTCAAGTGTTTGTCGACGATCAGTTTCCAGAAATGGTCAAGGATGGTGACAAGTTGGATATCAAATCCTTGGGCCCTCACACAGTTGGTCTTATCAAGCAAAATAGAAAGGGCAAAGTCGTTTTTCAAGGATTGCATCCTCTGGTCAAATTTGGAAAATTTGATGAAATTGACGAGTCTTCTGAGTCGCATGGAACGTCAGAGAAAATGTCATCTGAGCCAACTTCCTCCGAGAGGGTTATTTCTGAAAATGTCATCACTGTCTCAGATCATGAAGAAGAAGAAGATCCAGCTGTTAATGCTGATGTAGCTTCGGAACATGAAATGACATCCACTCGGGTTCAAGAAGATTCTCACAGGGGGTCGGGGTCAGAAACTGACTTGTATGAAGACCTGGATCTCACAGGTTTTGACAATGATGAAATTCCTGTTAATTTTAGGAGTAACGAGGATTTCTTGACAGAGGTAAACCTCAATGAGTTGCTCGACAATGTCAATGAAGTTGCTAAACCGGCAACTGAGACAAGGGAAGAAGAAGATGTTCTTGAAGCTACACCTCCACCAACCAAAACATCGGCGGAAATAGCAATTCCTATGGTGGCGACGTCAGGGATTCCTCCCCTTGATGTTGTCTTACCTATATCTGCGCCGATGGAAAGTGATCCTCCAGTCACTCAAACTACACCTTCTCCTAGCAAAAGACGAAGACTTGACCCAAGACTGGTGACTCAAAGTGCTTCAGCTCCACCAACAACAACCCCAGTCATAGTCTCAACTGAGCCAATCAGTGAAGGTCCCAGTACCTTCTATGAAACCGGTGGCTCGTCCTTCCCAACGGACTTCTCTCCTCCGAGGCCAGAGCACGACGCTACATCTGTCAAGCTAGCAACGCTCTTGGCCAGAGAACCATTTTCAATATCACCCTTGCGTGGCAAAGGAATTTATATAGGGGGTGATAACACAGGAGAAGAAGGTCTTATACTTTTTGGTCTTCAGAAGCAGGTCGATGCTCTGAGTCAGAAAAATGTCGAGTTGGATCAGAGGAATATTGAGCTTGACATTAAGGTCGCAGGCCTTCAAGCTGAAAACACACAGCTCAGTATTCAAATGGCAGAACTTAATGAAGAAAATGCTGCGAAGACCAAACAAATTACAGATCTCCAGACTCATTTTGGCCTTCTGACCGCCAGTTACTATGACTTGAAGAAAAAGCTGGAAGATAAGTTTGGGGGCGAATTCAAGTCATCTGTTGAAGAGCCACAGATTTATCTTCCTAATCAAGATGCTCCCATTGCTCCTACAACTATTAGAACCACCACCGTCGTAGACCGCTTTGAAAAGGAACCAGAGCAAGCTCCACGTGGAAAGGCCTTAAAACGCAAGAAGTCGACCCAGGAATCTGAAAAGGGTCAACTTCTATTCAAACGAAGCGCAGATCATAAGGCGCCCTGGGATAAACAACAGGTTACTGTTACGGATCTGGGCGAAAATCGCTTCAGAGACATTTATGGTGACAGGTCTGGAATCATCTCATGGGGATTCCATGACACGATGAACATGTTCATGGTAAGGAGAAAGAGCGGCAAAAATGAACTATACAAAGACGCTCACGACTTTGACTCTTTTACCAAGATTGATCTTAGTGAGCTGTCTAAGGCTCCTTTCTCCAATCCTTCAAATAATCCCAGGGCGAGCCAGTTTAAATCGTTTTTGGAAGATCAAGTTGCTAAAGGATTTCCTTCGATGAAGACTGCTCAGTCAATCGTCAAGGTTCACCCCAATGTGCTTGATCCCAAGACTGATCAGCCACTTAAACAAGTGATGTGGCCAGCTACTGCACAAGTGAAACAAGTCCCTGTTCTTCAAAACTACCCTGATGGTTCTCTTGCATCCATGCTGTATTGGGTATATGATGAATTAACAGATGCCGCTGTCATCAAGCTTAAAGATGATTGCATCCGTCTCTATGAGAAAAGGGACTTGCTTCAATTTCACAAATGGGACATTCATCATCTTGCTTCTCAGCAGATTAAGGTGGCTGAAACAATATTCGAGCCCGCGGCGAAAGAATACACGGCGATGGTGGCTGAGATCATTGAAAAGAAGATGTGGAATGGAGCGATGGGAACATCGGATGTTCTGGTGGTCGACAAGGATTGAGTCTAAGCTAGAACCAAACCAAGGGGGAGATTGAAGGACCCTGGAAATCGTTTGGTCTAGGCTTTCATTGTTTTGTGTTCAGAATGAGTCTGTTATAGTGTTTATGGGTTGTTTGTTGATTGTTGAACTTTTTGTGTGTTTACGACCGTAAAGTGTGTTTACGGCCGTAAACACGTTTACGACCGTAAACTCTGTTTACGGTCGCAAACCCAGTTTATGATCATGTCTTGTATATATAGAGGAGGTGTTAGTCTTTTAGTGGTTGTTGATGCCATAGAGTCCTATCGAGTTGTACCAGACGATTTTCTCAATATAATCGTGTGCAAGCTTGATTTCTTTTCATCTTACTCTTATTCTGTGATTGATTGTTGCTTAACTACTGGTAAAGATCCATATTTGGACCTTACACTTATTCTCCGTCTTTACCATAGTTAGAACCTAATGTCGGGAATCAGTTTTGAGCTTTTCCGCTTCAACTTTGAAGGTTCGATTTCATTAGCCCTCTTGACGGAAACCACCACAAACCTGGCAGATCCACCTTCTTCATACGAAGGGACCAACGGAGCAGCAAAGAGAGAACAAAATGTTTTGTGCAGGTCAGGCGGGATAGTTATAGAAGCGAAAGAAACACTATTGGAGGAGGAGGCGGCAAGGTGGGAATCCGTGCGGATAAAAATGGAAGAGAAGAATGAGAAAATGAAAGCATTGTGGCCTGAAAATGAAAAAAAAAACGTTCGTGGCAAAAAAAAAAAAGAGAAAAAAAGTTCGTTTTTAACAATTAATAGTATATATAATTAAGAATCATACAAAAAAATCAAAACTAATTTACTGTGGTAGGATCTTTGGATTTGTCTCAAATCTTACGAAAAAATATTGTTCGATATAAAAAGAATAACATTGGGGTACTCAATTTATACCACCATTCAAATAATAATAATAATAATAATAATAATAATAATAATAATAATAGATAAGATTTATTACTTCTTTTAACCTACTTTGGATTTTTATTTTCATTTCACAAAGACCTTTCTTTTTTATTTCAAGAATGTACGTTTTGATCATCTTATTTCATGATTTTTTATAAAATCAAAACTTGTCTAAGTATTTAACAAACTGATTATTTATAACTATTAATATCTCAAACGGCTGAAGCATTTTATCGTTTCCAAGCTCTTTTATTACAATCAACGGTCTACGTTTGTGTCTAAAAAGATTAGATGAGCAATACAAGTACTAAAGTACTAAAGCACTACTAGAAAATCTCAAAATACCTACGAAAATCACCTACGGAAATATTCCGTCGGAAAATAGCGACGGAATACCGTCGCATTTCCGTCGCTAACAATTACCCACGAGCAATTATGCTACGGCACACATTTCGTCACAATTCCATAGGTAAACCCGTATACCTACGGATCTTTGTAGGTATTTTAAGATTTTCTAGTAGTGAAGTAAATAATTTGACACACTACTGTTACTACACATTCACGAACAACATTATTCGTTTTTTTTTTCTTTTGTAACAATAGAAACAAATACGACACACTGTAAATTACTTCATGAATCCAAAACTGCAATCTGCCGCAGTACATAGATGACTGATGGTTAGACGCTAGGCGTATTCACGACACTACCCACCATCTCTAGAGACACACATGGCTGATCAACTGGAACCTGGATTCCATAAACATATACTATATATTAGTGACATAATATTGTCGAAAATAATACTTGTGACAAGTTTCTAGTCTCACGTGAAATTAACGGTATATATAGCTGCGCACTAATTAATGGACTTTTTTGAGGAACAGTAAGGTTTTATTCAGGCATTAATATAACATAAGTTATTTCTAAACCGTAAGGCTTTATCCATTTTCTGTTATTTTTTTCATCTATAGAAGATATGCATGATGTGTTTTTTGAATTTTTTTTATTATATCCATTTCGTTTGTTTTTTCTAGTTATTTAAGTGTTCGATCTGTTTGTAAAATTATAATAATAAATATAAATTATGCACCTTTTGTCATTATAACATTTACAAGTGAATAATGTAATATTTGATTTTCGGTATTTTTTGTGATTCTAGCAAGTTTTATTTAGATTTTACTAATCACTAGCAATAATTACAATGTTTGTATATTATAATTACTAGGTGTGAAACCCATGTATTACATGAGTTTATTTTAAATAAAAATTAAAAACAAAATTCTAAACATTTGACAAGTTTGAATTTATAAGAAAATTGAGAAAATATTGAATTATAAAAATTAAAATGTATTTTTTTCTCTTTTAAATTTAAACAAATAATTTAGATAAATAAATAAAGAAAATTAATGAATCTTTAATTTTGTAATTTTAAAATTAGAAGGAAAGTTTATTAATGAAATTGATATGCATTTATTATTGCATTTAAATAGTATTTGTATTTAATAAAATAAAAAAACAATAAAATGACATGTGGAATAAAATTTAATTTAAAATAACCACAAAATCACATGTGCCAAAATAAATGAAAATGTGTCATGTGGCAAAAAGATTTTTATTTATTAGGGAGGATAATATGGTTTTACAATGATGTTTATTTTTAGAAAAAAAAAATCGGATGAGAATCCAGAGTGGTCTAGATGATCAAACCATCGGTTATTCATTGGTCTAGACGATTAAACATTAAATGTTAAGAAAAGATAGAAACAGACTTACAAAAATGACCAGCTCCAAGAATCCAGTAGAAGGCGAAGTTCTCATATGACTTAAAGAATCCTTTTGTGGTGCTCTTATCTTCACCACAGTATAATGGAGTCCGAGCAAGGTTCAAATAAGTCGATAAACCATCCCACCTGACCCATAACAACCAGCATTTTAGCAACCATTAGTTGAATATTTACGTATCATTAAATCAAAATACAGGAAATCTGGTGCATAGTTAATTAATTACTTGAGTTTATTGATCCATGCTTCTGTCCCCTTAGTTGCACATATTAGATCAATCTGTCACATAAGTTACAAAAAATGTGAGTCTTTGCATGTCAACAAGATAATTCCAATAACTTGGCAATATTTTCACACCTGTCCGTTGTATATAGTCACATTTACACCCATTGACAAAAGCTCATCAACCTGTTAAAAGTGAAAACCGAGGCTGAATCTTTTGGTATTTTCTGATGTGGTAATTAAATATTTCAACACCATCATATATGCGACACAAAGTGTGTCATAAAAGTCGAATAGTTGGAAACTTTACCTCTGCGATTCTTGGTCTCATGAAGTCTCCTTCCATGGCTATAAACACACCATCACTTTGTCCTCCCCATCTACAAGCCATAGATTATCATTAGTAGGATAAATATAAGTAATCAAATCATACAAAAACTGTTTATAGAGGTTTTAATTTTTAAGTGCTTACTCCACGTTAGTGGGAATGATTTTGAGCTTCTGTCTGATTGGACCATTCATGACGGAATCCAGGTCATTTCCATTGGCTCCCGAGACCATGGCATAAGGCTTCTTTCCAAATCGTCTTGATGATTTTGTTGTCAGCGAAGTTGGATCATTTTCCCCATCCAACATGAAGTTGTAGAAGTCCTAAAATAGCAACATTTTGTCGCTAAATTTCATGTGTCGAGAAAAATAATTAAACAATATCTGTCGTACCACACCATTGCTGCTATCAAGGATGACTTCCTCGAGATCCCCCCATGTGTCTGTTGCCTTTGCATACTGGTCGTCTGCTATCTGCTGCTGAATCTTTAGAGCTAAACTGCACGAACAACGTGTATATCAGATACTTTTCGCGACACTTTTAAAGGTTCTTGTTTCCAACATAAGTAAGTTTCGGTCGAACCTATTCGATTTATTCAAACCAACATCATCAATCCTTGACACGTCTTTAAGTAACGGACCCCATGAAAACTACAAAAAATGGTTTGTTATTGCAGATAGTTAAAAAAAACACACACACAAAACCATTATATTTGTAACCAAATGAGGGCACTTACCACGAAATCTTCGGGAGAAATCCAACTATCGCCCAACGCAACACCTATATCATCAAACAACAACCACAAGTTTCTTTCAGTTAACTTTTCAAGTCATTATACACGATTTTTTGTTTCAACCAAATCACTGTTTCATAAAATAAAAATAAAAAATGAAAGACAGAAATGCTATAATATATAATAAACGATTTTTTGAGCAAAAACATTTCTCCATATGATGTTTTACGCATTTATAATTCCCCACATGTTATTTTTACAAAGAATATTAATAGTTTATTGTAACAACCCGAAGGATTTAGATAACTATTCTGCTATCTAGTTATGGAATATGTCAGAATTTTCTTGTAGTGATCAAATACGATATATATAGCTCAAAAGGAAAACTCGGAATCATATATTTTGCAAAAATGAAGTACCTCCAAGTTGAAGCTTAAGTTCCCCCTTTTCAATAGCTTGTAGAGCAGCAAGTGCAAGGGTCACAGCGAATTTACCTCCATAAGATTCTGCGAAAATATAAAGTGGAGGCATTACAGTGGTCTCGTTTCCATTGTAGATCGTCTTCAACAATGTTGTTACATCTATTGCTGCTTCAACATCGGTTGTGACAAACAAGTTATCGTCTTCCACATAACTATACCCGGTCCCAACTGGGCTATCCTGAGAATCAGAAAGGACATGACTAAATTAATTTGATAAGCTTTTCGGTTTTCAAGAACATCATGATCATAGTGTTAAGTAGGATACTCGAAACATACCACAAACAAGAGATCTGCCTTCTGAAGCCATGTTGAGTTTCTTGGCTTCAAATCAACATCTAAGGGTCCGAGTTCTCCAAAATTTCCAAAACCAACACCGGAACCACCCTGGTATGAAAGAGCACCATTAACAACCAGAACTCGTAGCTATCAAGAATCAATGTATTTGGTCTTTAATAGCGCATGACAAGGCAGTGTTTCCTTTTTTTCCATTAAATTTCGTCTGAATAGATGTCTAAAAAATATTTGAAAAAAGGATTGACAACACAAATGGGAAATGGAAGTAAAAAAATGAAAAGAAGTAATTTGTAAAAACTAGTAATAGTTATTCAGTGAAAACCTCGTTACCTTACTTATTAAGTCGTTTTTTCATCGAGTAAAGGAGCTACATATATCTTAGAGATTAAGTCATCTATCCATTAAATTTAGAAAAAGTTTGGTGGAAGTTAAATTAGTTGACCATAGTGAAACCAACTACTATAATATTTTTTGGCAATATTATCCATTTAGACAGTGTATTGCGGTGGAGATATTAGTTATGACATATCAGCTTCGACAGTCATTCTAAAATCATGCGGCATCAATACTTTATAATCACTCTTATATTAGCGTAATACTGACATTTTTTTGTTTCAAAAATGGTTTTCTCCGGAAATATCAACAACTATTTCTTTATTTTTTAACAAAATGCTTAGCTATAGCAAAACCACAATACAGAAAAGTAACAGCTAGGATGTCACAAAAAGAAATTCGCAAAGAATGTGATCAAAATTAATATTCCAAATCCTTTTGATTTATTTATAATGTAGAAGTTAGTTAAACAAATGTTGATAAGATCTAAATTAGAGATTAATATAGTATTAGATTAATATAATAAATTAACTACTAAATATATACAATAAGTAAAGAATAAATGTTAACGCCTACTTTTATTTAAATCTGGACCCAAGAATACTATTGCATGTGGTCGTTCATAATTTGAAAGAGCATATGTGGCATTGTTGCAAGTCATTTGAACTAGTTTGTGTGAATGGAAGTCATGTTTATCAAGGTAATGTATGAATAGTACTTACAGGGCCTCCTTGGAGCCATAGAATTGTAGGCCATGGTTTGGTTGAATGTTTGGGTCTATTAGGACTCTTATACAACCACCAAAACATATGTGCACCTATAACAAAAGCAACATATAAAATTAAAACATGAACTTTTGCTAGTAATGAATCCATGTAAATCTAAACAGTACCAGGGCGCACATCAACATATCCCCATGTTTCAGAACCATCGGCAGTCCCTCCCGAACTATTCCCAAGTGAATTAACCAAAGATAGGAAACCAAAAATACATAGAACAAGAACACAAAAATATTTCATGGAGACCATCTTCATGTTCAAAATGAAATGTAGTTGAAGAGAATTTTGATGTAAATAACATGAAAATATAACATAAGAACCTTCTCCTCTTTGTTTAATTTATGGTGAAAAAACAAAACATAAAGAACAAAGTTGGATGATGAGTACAAGAAATGAGTTGTTTCAATCCACATAAACAATTAAGGTTTAAAACTTTTTGTCATCTTACTTGTTAGAAAGTTTTTGAATTGAATATTTCAACATGAACATAAAATAAATGTTTGTAATATATATATATATATATATATATATATATATATATATATATATATATATATATATATATATATATATATATATATATATATATATATATATATATAGAGATTTCAAAATAGATTTAAGACGTCCAAATATTTAAGCTAATAATACAATTAACTAATGCATCAATATCTTCTTTGAGTCTAATCATATAGTTTGAGTTGGATATAACCTTATAATCTCCCGCGTGATATCAAGTCAGCAACTATCTTCCCGTTTCTCTCTCATCCTTATCTTGATTCGGCACCCCTATATCTCGGCCTTCTCAATTGTAGCTAAAATTAACAATCTCATGTTTTCATTCTATATAAATTACAGCGTAGCTTGAAGACGAACATTTTAGCTCATCGATTTTGATATTTGACCTACATGTTTACAAGGTTTGTTCGATTAAAACCCTAAATCCATTGTGTATTTGAATTTTTTTACAGGTGGACGCTAAAAATATAGCTTCGGCCACCAGCAATGAAGTTAGGAAGTTAGGCTTCCTTAATTGCTTTTGATTCCACCGTCAGATAACCTTCACCGCCATCTAACAAGTCACCGTTCACCATCGCCTCCTTCTATTCTCTCTATCTCCATCGGTTGATCTGGAATCAACACCTCCTTCTGTTCTCTCCAACTCGATCGCAGAGGAGATTAATAAAGAGAGAGCAATAGTCATTGCCATCGTCTGGTGTGGTTTTCTATCTACCCTGTCATTCTCTCCTCTTCGACATCTTCTTTTGATGATTTTGTTCATTTTTTTGTAGAAGGTTTTGGAGGTGGTGGTGTGTGGTGTTGAACCAACGACAATGCTCCCAAGTCCGGTAGTACCAGATAAGAACCCTAAATCGATTTATGTTTTCTAAAAGAAGGTTTTGAGTTCTTTCACTTTTCAATTTTTTTTTTGTATTAGCTTTAGATTTAATTTGTTTCTTCACTACCATACTCGATATGATCACCGGATGCGATATGATCACAAGAAGAAACATCATGGAAAACCTCACCAAACCTTGATTTTGAGGTTTAACCTTAGGTGACGTTTCTAACCTTGAAGTATCTATCTTTATAAAATCTCTCTAACCTATCGCACCAACCAGGACAACCACCGCTACGCACACTACTATCACACACTATTTGTCTATGTGTATCCCACACACACTCATCACTCTCTCTATTCTTAACTTTTTATTTTACTTTTTTTTCCAAAATGAACGTGAACAATTTATGGTTTTTCCAACGATAATAGAAATGGTTTTTGTTTGTTTCTTCAGTTTATTACATTAGTAGTAAATACGGAGTGGAGTATCTATGGTTCAGTTTTGTTTTTTCTCAAGCCATCCTCGGATGTACCTCTCCCCTCTAAGATTCTCTATGTACACACTCCACCTTCATCCCTCTGTTACCAAGTAAGTTAAAAATTACATAAGTTTCCTTTGTTGTTTGGTGTTTTAATGGTTCGACGTTTTATCATTTTCTAGACGAGTTAAAATATCCACTAATGGTTTTTTGTTAAGTCAAGTGTGAGGTTAGGAGTTATTTTTCTGGTTTTTGCTTTTATTTCATGCCTCTTCTTTGTTGTGTTATGATAGGCATGGACGAAATTGCCCCTGAATTTAGGTACCTGCCCAATTTATGTTGTAGATGCTTGCTTTCGTTAAACACATTTTATATGTCCAGTTTATGTTGTAGATACTCAATTTTGGACGAAATTGTCCCTGAGTTTTGTACATGTATCCGAGTTGTGGTATCTGCCTATTGGAAGTCTTTATATAAAACTACAATGGACTTCAAGACCTTCAGTTGGTTGTTGACATTTTTTTTGGCAGATCCGACCATAAGTGATTTATTGAGATTCTGCTATTGGTGAGTTTCTTTTGTCGTTATGTTAGTTAGGCTTTTAGACCAATTCAAGGTTAAAGTTCATATTGATCTCTAAATTGCGTTAATTGATTTTTTGTTTGTGGGTTTGTTATGGTATGTAGAGTTTGATATAAAGAAATCTGCAAATGAAGGACCAAAATCTGATATGAAAGTTTGAAATCAGCAAACCCTCCATTTTCCTTGTTCTTATTTTGGTTTTTGTGGGTAATGGGTTTGATTTTTTGTTTAAAGATTTTAAGTTTTGCTACCAACTACTTGTGCTGGTGCATAATAGGTTTGGTTTTTGTTTCTTTTTTTGTTTTTTGAGTAGATTGTCTATTTTTCTTGAATAGAGTTCATTTTATAGTTTTAGATTATTTTAAGATACATAATCGGCTGGCATTTGCTAGATTATTTGTTGGATTGATCTTTTTTAACCAAAAGCTTTTTTTGTCAAAGGCTTTTGATCAATAACAATTGACATCTCTTTCTGAATTTTTACTTTTGGAAGGTGATATATCAAGTCCACAAATGTGTAATTGGATGAGAAATCTAACACGAGCTTTCAAATTTCAGTCTTGCTAGAGAAGGATCACAAGGGGCATACTTATGTATCTACAATGGTAAGGCTTTTCACAATTTCGGTTTCACGACTTCATTATAAATGTGTCAAATTGTCTTGTGCCTGAAAAAAATACCCTCAATTGATATTTTCTTAAAATTATAATGTGTTAATAAGCCAATTAAATTCTTGATGCTGCCAGGTTCAAAGTAATTTACTTGTCGTGCTATTTTGTTGTTGTCGAGTTCAAAGAAAAAAGCTTATTTCTGAAGTTTGGTTTAGTTTATCCTGGAAATCTTTTTTCCACCTTAAAAGTGTTGTTTTTGGTTTTCTAACAAATTTATTTTAATGTAGGATATAATGGCTAAGAGCAACAAGAAATGGAACATACAGACTCTTGATTGACCATTTTTTAGCATTGGTTTATAAACATTTCTCAAATATAAGGTTAATGGATTTTTATAATGTGGTAGTGTGGTGTGTGCAGGTCAAAAAAGAAAAAAAAAGTCTTTGGAGCTGATCCCGTCGTTGGTGAAACTGTTGATGGAAGGAAGGCTTAAGATGATGCTAGAAGATATTATAGTATAACTTATATATTTACAATCAATTTATCATGTTCCTTAGACTTTTCATTGATCTGATATGTATAATTTAATTACAAATCAAAAACATTCATTGAGAATTAGATACATGAATTTGATTTAAGACTAACAATATAATGCTAAGAAAACTATCATTTTAAGCGTGAAGTTAGCAACGTAAAACATTCATTAAAAGTTAGACATGTGACTTTGTTTTCGTTTTTGTCATGTTGTCCAATTTTAAAACACAGTAAAACGAATTGCTGATGGAATGTGATTTAAGCATGACATGAACAAGTGTGGTTAATCAAAAAATTTAAAATCATTAGTTTGATTTCATTAACAAAATTATTTTTTTGCCTCCTAAAAAATGAGTGTTTATGATATCTATTTTGTAGTATTGTTAATTCATAAATTTGTTTGGTACTTAGTACATATTATCTTTTACATGTATTTTTTTTTTTCGAAAGTCTAATACTTTTTTATTAAATTGTATATGAATCTTATTCATCGTTTTGTCATTTTCAAGGTCTATACATCAATCATGATTGACGGTACAATATGAAAATTAAGTAACAAGTATCCCAACCATTTAACAACATACCATTACCTAAACATATTTGAGTGAACATCAAATCAATTTTTGAATCTGGTGTGACTCGGTCAAATCTAATCAGATTTAGCAAGATTATAGTCTAGATAATGAAAAATGAATAAGTGAAACATTTTACTAATGAACCAGTTAAAAACTAGATTAACTATTGAAATTTTCATACAAAATGACATAATTACCATTTCTAGAAACTAAAATAATCATTTCAATATACGTATGAGACGTCCCACCTACAACCACACTACTAACAACTATGCAAGTAATGTTGGTCATATCCTAACCCAAATACAAAACCATAAATTAAAGTATTTTCAAAATGTCATAAAGTGTCACACCCCCGAACCAGACGACGGAAACGTCTGGGGGCTTGTGCGTGACTTCATCTTGAAATATCATCACAATGCATATAATTGAAACATAACATCATCATCATCATGCATAAAATATTACAACTGTCATTGTTTAAATCAAGTACCATATTTTAAATTACATGTCCAAAACATTCAATGTATGATGTTTAACAGTACACAAAAATAAAATCCACATACTCTTGTTGATTCTTCCGCTTAACGAGTTCCTAAGAATACAAGTTATTTTGAAAACGGTCAACATAATAATGTTGGTGAGTTCATAAGTGTATTTGAATGAAAAGTTTTGTATCGTTAGTAAAACACCAGAAAATCTGATATTTTCTGCAAAAGAGTTTGAAAGTGATGTATAAATCAAGTATTAATGCATGTGTGGTTTCCATTGTAGAAAGTATATATGAATAATTAACCCGGAAAATCCTGTATTTTTCTATTGTATGTAGAAGGTAGTGTATAAATGTATATTTTTCCCCCAGAAAATCCGATATTTTCTGATTATAAAAGTATTGTGGTCTTAAAACCCTAAGACCTTGTATTTGTGTATGTATGTTTTGTATCGTCACAATTTGTATTTGTATTTCGAAATGTTCTGATGGTATTGATCTCTATGTGAGTCGTTACAACAATGCTTGATAATGACTAATTTGCCTGTCATGGCGTCTGTCAGACGCCGGTTTGTCGAATGTAAGGTTTGTCACCCTAGACTGGCCTAGTCTAACTGTAGCGAACAGCTCAGGTGTGGGGAAGCGACCCGCGTATAGATCTATACACAAACTCCTGCTCTCCCTCCAGGAGACTCTGGTTATAACTACAGGCTACGATCGTACACTCTAAGGTGTCAACCGACATGTCTCACAAGATCCTTGGTTGTTTCCACGCGAGTATTGAATTACACTATGTATAATGTTTTCGTATATGTAGTTAAGATTTGCTAAGCCCAGAAAAATATGTAAATGAATGTATAAGGCCCAACAGACATGTAATAGTGCAACTTTGGCCCACTAAGCATGTTAATGGATAGTCTAGGCCCAATAAGCATGTTAATGGGCCACAAAGGCCCAATAAACATGTAATGAACATATTATGCCCAATAAACATGTAAATAGGCCACAAAGGCCTAAATAGACATGTAATGAATATATTAGGCCCAATATCACGAAATTAACATTTTTGGCCCAATCATATTAAGATATTATTTTGGACCCATTTTTATAGAAATTAACATTTTTGGCCCAAAATATATATAAAATATTATTTTTGGCCCATTATTGTGAAGATTTACATTTTTAGCCCATTTTTGAATAAAATGACATTTTTCGGCCCACATTTTATAAAAGTGACATTTTCGGCCCATGATTATAAAATTTTACATTTTTATCTCACTTTTCATAGAAATTGCGTTTTTGGCCCAAGTTTTGGAAAAATTGCATTTTCAACCCATGAAACCGTAAGTTTACATTTTAGACTCAAACTTGAGTTAAATGACAATTTACTCCATAAAAATCGAGATTTTAACAATTTAGGCCCAATAAACCGAAAAGCCCATTTTTATAGCCCAATATCAAATATTTACATTTTTGGCCCTTTTATCACTAAGAATATCATAAAAACCCGTTTTTGTATAAAAGTAACTCTTTTAGTCCTTGTAAAACTGTATGTGCCATAAAAATCCCATCTTTTTGTTTGTTTGACAAAAATGACCCTATTTCAAGATTTTGTTTCATTTTTCCAACAATCACTATAAGTGTATAGTTTCATTTTCATGATATGGTG